AGGCGTCAAGAAGTCGGAGGTAACTGTTGGCAGCGGTCGAGACGGGGACCCTGTTTGGCATTATTTTTTTATGGCCAAAAAGCCCTACAAATTGCGGACTGCTCCTTATTTGAATTTGAACGCATGTTAAGGGCTTGATTGTCAATCAAATAATTTGTTCATTATTTTGGTTTACCATAGTTAATTTTGAAAAGGTAGTATAGTTAGTTGTTAGTGGAATTTTAAGAATGTATTAAAATAATATATAAAATAAAATAATTAAAATTGATTTGATGTAAAAGTAAGAGATAAATGATTGAAAATGATTGGAAATGATAGTTAGTTAAAAATATGTTAGTGGATAAATAGTGAATTAAAGTTGATGTGATGTGTAATAATGATTGGTTTGTACTACCTCCTATTTTAAATAGATGTCGTTCTGGGATGTTGCACATCTATTAAGAATATTTTTTTTGTCAATAATAACCTTATTTAATGAAGATAGAGATGAATGTTTTGAGAAAAAGATGAAGAGTGATTATGAAAAGACGTGATGTATTTATTAGCTAAATGAGGGTAATAATAGAAAAATATATACAAAAGATCCAAAACGACATTTATTTACCAAATAGTTGATAGAGCTAGAATGACATTTAAAAAAAATATGAGAGAATATTATTTAATTATATGAATAATACTAAAAATAGTGAAGTTGAGTTAAAATTGAGTTAAATTTTGAGTTGAAATAAAAGTGAGTAAATTATTCCATAAACAAGCAAGCCCTTGGCTTAAAAAAATGAATGTTATTCTAATTTAAATTTATTTAGATTAAAAATTATATATTTCGAAACAATTTCAATATTTGCATACTTTTCTATTAGTACAGCATCCGATCTTCATCATTTCTGTTTTCATTCAAGTTACATAAAAATAGAGTTCATTTTCAAACATTTTGTTCAAGGCAATATAAATTATTCCATGTCATTTTACGTTACTAGGAAGTTCTAACTTCTAACACGGAGGTTAGCCATGGCAGCTTATGCAGAGCTGTACTCTCCCTGGAGAATATTCAAAATCATCGCCCGCCCCGAAACAACAGATCCAATCTCTCATCAGTCCTTATGAGACAATTTGTCGTGTCCACAACTACGAAAACAAGGATTTCACAAGTTTTCAGTCGAATATTCCAACTAGTTGAAATTTACATAAATAAGTACCAAACTTGACAACAATGGTTAGGCTGATGCAAACCCATGTATAGAATTTATTGACCTGATGCTCAATAACTGACAGAATCCAACAATTTTAGCTCCGACTGAAGCACACTTGCACTGTTTGATAGAAAAGGTGTACCAGGAAATCTTAGGGTTAACAGCATAATAAATTACTTACACAAACAGGCTTCCATAAAAACACAGTATACAGTAAACCGAAAACCCATCACTACTAGAACAAACAAGAAGATCATAAGCTTTTAGAACCAAAATTAAGTTGTGCCCCATGCATCTGATACATGATCCATGTTGGCTGAGAAGGAAAAAAAAAAAAAAAAAAAAANNAAAAAAAAAACACGAAACAAAAAAGTCGAAAGAAAAAAAAGATGAGAAATACAAAGCTCAGAATCTGAAGGGCACTAATTCTATAGGTTCTAAAGATCAGCCTCCTCAGAAATAGTCAGGAAGTTGCATTTTTCATATATTTCCAGATAACTCTCTTATGCACCACATGTGTATGTTTTTCTGCAGTTGTCGAATATCTACAGTTGGGAGGTGTATGGACACATCAAATCTACTCATGAAGCCCCGCCGATCATCAAAAGCAACAACCATCAGATAATGGTTGATTTGCTTTGAAAACTGAGTAAAATAACAAAACAAGCACTCAACTTGGTCAGATAAAAATGTGTTGCAAGAAAAACTGACATGTATGATACGTCATACGTTAAAACGATTAGAAATGAAAATGAATTCAAGCGTCGTATTCTCTAATAACCAGTGATGGTTATTATGGAAAGCTTTTATTTTGAACCATTGAGGTGTATATATCCCTATTAAAGAGCTCATAAGATCTTCAAGAAGTAGATACATGAACACTTCTTCTAGGAAAAAGATAAGTGAACTTTTGGGGAGCTCAAGGGGTGTAGAACTATTAAAGAGTTTATAAGTTCAGTTAAATACCCGGTTAATAACTTTCTAGTAATAACTTCTAATCCATTGTGCAATAGTTATGAATCACAGCCCATCATGTTATAGCAATCGCGACTTGTGATTCAGAACTCCACAAATACCAATCTGATTGACAGAGCATATGCATGGCATACAAAACCGCACTTCTGCTTAAAAGAGAAGAGCTTACCTAAAGCCTATGGCAAGGCTGCTGAGAATCAGCCTTCATCTCACAAAGTTGATTGTCTTCCACCTTCATTCACCATTCACAAGAGTACATGTCAAACCATTTGACATCAGTCACCAACAGGTAAATAATTTCGTCAGAACAGGACTGACTACTTGCCGATAACTGCAGTGAAGAATATTTTACACAAAACAGAACAAAAATACTCAATCCACCTATTATCTAGTTCACACGAGTGGAAATATGCACAATACAGCTATCACCCGAACAAATTCATCAAAACCCAAGTGATTACATTCACTTTCACAATATTCTGTGGTGATTCATTTTCAATATATTGTGACGGAATACAATGGCAGTACAAAGTCTCAGAATCTACAAACAAGTATGACAATTTTCCTCTTAACTAAATCAGATGTTAATCAATGTATAACTGAGACAAGCTGTGAACAATAAAAATGGTGCATGCAGCTAATGTTAATTACCAGTTGAAAACTAAAAGGTCTTGCATTAGAAGCACATCTGTATTGAAGTAGATAGTGTGTATTTAAGTAGATAGTAGCAGACGCTGCTTCAGGTCTATTTATGTTACACATTCCTTACGGAGCAATTGGTCAACAAAGGTGAACTTGACCAAGACAACCAACCAAGGGAGAAACTCTACTATAGTTTAATGCCCCCAAACACCAATAATTTCTCCACGCAATCATTAATCATAAACAAAAAACTCGGCACCGGATAATATACTAGTAATTTATGCAAAGCATGAAAGTAACACTTACAGGATTTTAGGGAAATGTAAGTTTTAAGAGTCAAATTCTACTGCCACGAAGAATGCCTACGTCTGGCGGGCTCATTGTCCCGGCCACCATCAGGCTCCCTTTTCTTCAGAATACCACCTGAAACTGAGAACATACGAGACTGCTCCTCCGCAAGAGCTTGAAAACTGGAAATAGACTGTTGGCCAGACGAGTGAGTCAAATTCTCTTCCTTCACTTCACCTTCAATGGTGCCAGGGCCTGCATTAAGATCCAGACCCTGTCTGCCCCACTTCCTGTTGCTATCCAACACACCATTATTGTTCACATCAGCAAGGCCAACCATAAAAGGCCTCTGAAATTGGGGTACGGCATTACCATCAGGTCCCAGATATTGTGAATTCATTGAAGGTGGAAAAATCCTTGCACCAGAAGAGGAATCCGGATACGAATTACCTCCAACTGAAAAAGTGCCTGAAGGGAGAGGAAAAGTGGCCCCAAAAGAAAATACAGGGTACTGGAATGGACCGGACGGGTAAGGCACTGCAGGAGAAGATGACAACACAGATCCACGGTACACATCACGATTGAATTGGGTAACACCGCCGGGCCCAAATGATCTTTGGGGTCCACCAGGTGGGAAAACAGAAAACGAATGTTCCCCTCGGTCAGGTAATACCGATGGTATTGCTACTGTTGAGTATGTATTCCCGGGAGAAAACCAAGACGTGAAGCTGTTAGGCCCCTGATTGCTCATTGTGAGGCCAGCAGAAGGCAGCTGTGCGACTACACCACCCTTGACTGAATGACTGACTGAGAACTGCCTTACACTAGCATCATCAATTGTAGGTCCATTGTTTAGATCGAAATCCCTCTGAATATGTAAATTACTCACTGGTTTGACGTGCGCAAAGGGAGCCTTGACGTGATGGTTGCTGCTAGTAGAGAAGTGCACAATATCATTTGCCTCATCGGCCCTATTCAAATCGAGATCCAGCCCACCAGAACTCCGTTGCATTGAACCCGATGCTTCACTTAGCAATGAGGCACAATTGCTTGCTAGATGAGTAGTTGACTCAAAAGCCAAAGCGGATCCTCGAGAAGCCAATTCCTCCAGAACTCTTTCATCTGGCACATTGAGGTCAATATCCAAAGGAAAACGGTCATGTTTACTGGTTGAAGCATCAGCATAAGATGAAGTAGATGTGCCAACTGCCGTTTCAACAACTTTTCTTGGTTCCGCAGGACGAAATGCACTAGTGGCAGCAGAGCCCTTCCATCCAAGTTCCACTTTACTTCTCAATAGATCGTCCGGAGGAGAAAAGTTGCCTTTGGCAGCAGAAGCTACAGTAATGGAGGCAGAATGGCCAAGAGGAATAGAACTCAAAGGAGATGGTAAAGAATTAACATTTTGAACAGTTGATGATAAAGTGACAGACTCCTCATATTTCCCATCATCATCATCATCACTAAAACCTTCATTTAAGTCAAACTTCATTTTTTCACAAGGTTCGGTTGCTCCAGAATAAGTGGAAGAAGCAGAACCAGTACCAATAGATGCAGACTTGCCTGTATTAGCAGTCCTCGTGCTAATCTCCGGAGGAAAACGGTCATGTTTACTGGTTGAAGCAAATCTGTTTTCACACAACTCATCCTTCTGAGATTCATGCCTCACAGAACCTGGGCACTGACTCTCAGGAAGTGAATGCTCGGCAATCTCCTGGTGTTCTAGACTGGCCACTTCACAGCGACTGATCAGATCACGAGATGTTGAGCATGAAAAAGCTTGACTTTGAATGCCCTCATTTTTCTGCAAATCTTTATCAGATTTCACTCTTTCTGACTTGTCTGCAGCATCTTTCTCACTGAGCTCTACTACTTTGGCTAAAACACCAGCTTCGGGCACAGACTTCTGGCCAAATTCAAGTTGATCCAGCCCTTTATTACTAGCCTTGTCCGGAAATACAGACTCAGCAACTGTAGAAGTCTGTTTCGGAAAAGATACAGATGCCATGTTCAATCCTTCATCCTTAAAATTCTTGCTGTTACCTTCTTCTAGTGTCTTAGATACCGCATCACCAGCAATTAGCTTACAATCACCACTAATCAAATTAGTATTGTCCTTTTCTTCAGTCATCATACAGCCAATTCCACACTTGGGGTCGGTGTTGCTTCTTAATTTCGTGAATGAAGAGTCAATGTCTTTACTGCCACTCGAAAATGCATCCGGCCCAGAGCACCAATTAAGAACAGCCTGTTTCTTACCATCACATCCATCATTGTAAACCTCATTCTGCACTCCTGCAGAGTAATCTTTAGAAGAAGATTTAGATTTTGTCTCAACACCAGAGCAAACTTCCTCCACAGCAGCTGTCGCCCTTTCGATAGAATCATTAGGGGAAACATCAGATCTTGAAATTTCCCCTGCAGCTACACTGGCAAGCAAATTCATGCCACCATCATCATCAAGAGACAATGACGAAGTAGCTTCTGAGTACTTGGCACAGCTCTCGACAAGAGCATTCATGGGGCTGAAAGAAGATGCTTGTGATTTTATAGATTTCAATTTGTCTGATGCAGGAACTTCATTCAATATCTTGGAAGCATCGGTGGCCATGCTTTGGCCATCCTCGGGAGGATTTGCAGGTGATCCAGCACACTCCGAACCAGTCAATGAATGTTCCTTGTCATTGTTCACATAGTATGTTTCACCCTTGTCTTTTGAAGTAGTCTCAGACTGCTTGTGTTTCTTCACAGGAGACGCATGGCTGCTCATAGTCATAGGATCTTCTAGAGAATCTCCACAAGCCCCTTGTGCAGGACTTCTCGCGCGGTTTGGTATCTTAACAATTAGCTTATGGCTAATGCCATCACTTATGGGCCCCTCAACAATCCTTTCACCAGTTGTTGCAGGGTGAGACGACTTCTCTAAAGCAGTATTCTTGTGCACTGGAGAACTTCTGCTAGAGCTGGTTTCTTTCTGAACAGTAGATGCTGATGCTCCAGGAAAACCAGTATGTTTCCGATTACGAGTACTAGTGCTCGATGTCTTATTAACAGTCGCTCCAAGAGAGGCAGAACTCTCAATGTCATCCTTCACTGACAAAGACTGACCATTGTTATGAGACTGATTAGAACTACTATTCCTATCCTCCCTAAATTGAGGGGCATCAACAGTGCCTCGCCCAGAACCTCTCAGCTGACTCTCCTTTCCGGAGGCAAGGGTTGGAGCCAGTTTTACTGGCCCAAGAGATGACAATACATACTTGTTACCACTGTCTCCAGGCGAGGACCTCCCAGAACTAGTTTTTGCTGAAGAATTCTGAGTAAGGGAGCTTTTCATGGCACCATCTGGAGTTCTGCTACCAGCATGAGAAGCCTCCGGAAGGCGTGATTTGGATGGCCAAGGAGATCCACCTTGGTTTGAACCAGACTGCACATCGATGTTAATCATTTCAGCTTCAACGCGTTTCTTCCAGGTATCGACTAAAGTTCGTGCCTTTCGCTGAATTTCCATGTTTTTATGGGATCGTAAATGATTCACAGATTTGCCTATGTTGCATGTTTGAAGGGCTTGGAGATTCACCGGAATTTTACCAAGCGCACGAAGTAAAATAAGAAGAAATTCTTCTACTGATTTATCACCATCTTTTAAGTTATTACCATCACCAATTTTACCTTTGTGAATATCCTGCAGCCAACTATCAAGCACAGGCAAACCTCTCAGATGGACAAACCGACTGAGGCAATCAACATTATCAATGGAAGCTAATACATAGGCAAGCACGGAGCGACTACCCAAATCCAATTTTCTCTCCGGCGTATCTAGTTGCATCAACTGCACAAGCTTCTCAACCCCATCCAAATCTACCACGCCAGCTTTTTCTGTTATTTTTGCAATCTCATGTTTTAATTCATTTTCAGTTTTGGACTGAACAGAATCACCATCATCAGGCCGTGCAGAACGTCCGCGTTTCACAGTATCGGAACCATGATCACCTCTTTCCCTCTTTTTTCCTTTGGCTTGTGAAGGAGCATTAGCACTATTCGGGCCAATATCAGACCCCTGTTTCAGTTGAGAGGTTGAAGTTGGACCATTATTTTGCTTAGGAGAACGAGCACCAGGCTGCAAAGTCTGATGCATTTCTGACCTTGTTTTGTACAAAAGTTTATCTACTTCCTCTTGCTGGTCCTGAGATATGCATGCAACATTATAATCAAAATTTTGAACACAAAAATAATGCGCTTACGAAAATAAATGACTCTCCATTTGCCATTTCTCACCATACCACCACCCTAAAGCTTTCACCCCACAAACGGATGAAAAAGTAAACACCCCTGTGCACACTGCACACCACACAGACACACGAACACATGAAAATGAATTTTTAGAAAGGAGAAAACAACTAACATTAATGAGCTGCAGATCTGTTAGCCACGATAAACTCTTGTTTGCAATATCATAGGCACGCCGACAAATGAAAGAGGATGTTCCAATGGGAAGCTCAACACATCTAGGAAGAAATGCAACTTTACAAGGATGGAGTAGAGATGCAGCAAGAACTTCGTCTTTTTGAAAGGAATAGAAAATCTCGTTGGGTGCACTGTCCAACAAAGTTCCTTTCCCGAGCTTGAGCTCAGATGATCGATACAGCCAATTCACACCTAGCTGCAAATTATTCTCCTTGCTCAATGCCAACCAACGAATTAAACCAATGGAAGGAGGAGAATCCTTTTGGGGCTTGAAAAGAGCACAATCACCAACCTTAATTTTGCGACCGCCCTGTAAGACAGATAATTTTTATATCAAATAAGCGGGGCAATCGGAAGGCACAAAACCATTTTCAAAGCAACTGTCCATTCTTAAAAAGAATGAGAGGCTATCAAACGCAAAATTACATTGAGATAATCAAGAAACTTCAGTCTGCAAACCCGGATATGCTAAAGCAAGCCTTTAATGCCAAAAAATGGCATCTTTAGAATGCGTACAAACTACGAAGCAATAGTCTAGTATTTCTTCTGGGTCATTTAGTTTTATTTGTAGCAATACATGCAGTCGTCCTTTGTGTATTATTTTCTGTTACAGATTAAAAAAAAATGACTGGATTAATATATTTTGGATAAATGCACACTGCACACCATACGACAGCATTTCCTAATAGCAGAGAGAATCTGAGAACCAGTGATTTGGTTACTTAAAACGAATCAGCTGTGTCACGAATAAACCAATGTTCCCTTGCTTCCACCCCAACCCACAGAAGTTAAGAACATAAACCAAACGAACAGCAAAAATATAGCCCACTTTAGCTTTCCCACTTTAGCTTTCCACGTGTAGATGAAAATAATGTGCTCAGTTTGGTAACTTTCAAAATGAATATACACAGCCCACTTAAGAAAAAAGAGAAAATAAGGTCGACAAATGAAAAATCCACGTTCGAAAGAGAAAACATAGGAATCAGTTATTATCCCCTCGTCATACCACCTAACGAAGGAATAAATTCTTGTATCATCACAATCATTGAATCAAAAAATATGATTTGAACCTCCCAACAGATGAAATATAAGATTAATATCCAACTAAAAATTTTTAAATACGATACTCATATCCAACAAGTTTCATTATCGTTTCATTCTCTCTCGGAATTAAATGTATAGCTAACCCCACCAACTAAATACCTTTAAGAATGAATCGCTGTTGATAGAGGTGGTGATAGAAGAATCACGGTGAGTATGATTATCACCGGTAAGAACTACAGCGTCGTTGGTAGTTGCCAATGGTAGGACTGACCGCATGTGCTGACTGCAACTCCTCTCTAAACTCCTACAGCTCCTGCCACCCCGATGAACCCTCCCATGCATAATAAAATGTGGTTTTTCGCATTTTCCCCAATTTTCATACCATACAATACCCCAATTTCAAGCATCAAAATCTTCCAAATTCCTTTTCCAGCTTTTCACTCTAATAAAGATAAAGATAATATAATTTACGAGACATCCCCATTAATAAATCAACCTGCACCCTTGACAACTCAATCACCGGGATGGATTGAAGAAATACAAAACCCTAGATCGCTCAATCTCACGGAATCCCTTTATTTATAGCTTCAATCAGCTGATGACAAGCCTGTCAATACGAAATTCACAGCGTTCAAAGCGAAATCTCATCCAAATCAACCAATCAATCACGTAAAATGATAACAAGAATTGCACATCGAGAAAAAAAAAAAGTGCACGCACCTACACATATACATACAGAGACGCGAAATCAGAAGAAGCCTGAGAAATGTTCCCGAATTCCGGCGTATAGAGAGAGAAGACGATAAATGTTTAGAGAAAGAAAGAAGGCGGCGAGGTATAGAGATACAGAGCGCTGTACGTCGACAGAGAGAGAGAGAGAGAGAGAGAGAAACGATGTGGTGAGGTCTCGTCAGACGGCAAAGGGGAAAAAGGAGGCTTTGAAATGAGTTGGGCCGTGTTTGGTTTTAGCTTATTTAAACCCACTTATTAATAATTTTGTCCTAAAGTGTAGAAAAATGTGATTTTCATAACAAATGCTGCCTAGTAAAATCTTATACTCTAATTCATATAATCAAAAGTTAGTGTAATAGTTTGATAATCAAATTATGAAATTTTTGAAATAAAATTTGATTGAAATAATTTTGAAAAATGAAATTTCGATATTTTGTATCAATTCTTAATTACTATTACAAATATTTGTTTGTATTCTTTTTCTTTTTAGGTTTGTGTTTATTCAAATATATATATATATATATATATATAATTGCTTAATATTTTTCAAGATTTCCCTCCATTTTCCGTAACTTTTGCATTCATTAACTATTTATATTTTTATTTCATTAAGTAATAACCACTGCTTATTTATTATAAAGTCACATTAAATAATATTTTAATCTGAAAAAATGTCAAACTATTTTTTGTTTTAACTCATTAAGCAAGTTTTTTTTGTTAACACTAATTATTTTTTATAATATAATTAAATCTTTTAAAATTTCGAAAACAATTGCTATAATAACAATTTTAATATTGTTTTATCTAATCAATTGTTCATGATGAACAAAGATTGCGAACATTATTTTATTGCAATCACTACAAAAATTAATATGTACGTTAATAGTTTATATTAATATTGTTTATTTATACTAATGATAAATTTTATAAACCATATGTTCATTATCTAACTTATGATTTTAAGTATTACATACAAACACATAATATATAAATTTTATTATGTGCATGTGCACAAGATCGAATTCTAGTCTGTATAAATAACTAGATTGCTTCATTTTGTTCTTGGGATGTGATATATCACTTTATATAATTATCAGTCATGTATAAAACATGTGCTTGTTGTTTCTATATGCCTTGAATCGATCACACTGTTGGAAACATTAATGTTTATGTTAGTCAGACATAAGTGATTAGACAATTATAAATATTCAACATATATTCCTGTGTTTAAAACTGAATTGTCATCCTTTAAAAACAACATGAGCAAAAAAGTATTAATAACATAAGTACGCATTATTGTTAAAGAGTCTAACAAATCAATTTGGAAGCAGTTAGACCGCCTCATAATAGGCCTATAACCGATTCGGTTCCTAGCATATTTCCAAGAACCCGAACCAAAACCGAAATAAATAACCGATTTGATTAACACACGAAAATTCGCAAGAATTGAACTATGTTATAATGATTCAGTTCTTTGGGTAGCCAAATTATCATAAACAATTGACAATAACCGGTTTTGAGTTACCATTCAAAAAATTACAACTTACATACAAAAAATATTTAAAAAAAAAAAAGAGAAGAGAAATGCAAAAATGGATAAACAAATATTAAAATACCAAGAAGCAGAACCGATTAGTATATATAATTATACAAACCATGCATATTGCATATATATTGGCGGTTCCTCGGTTATAATACACATACATTTGCAAAGGAAATTAAAAAATGTGCGAACTGGAAAAAAATATTATCTTTTTGTTTAAATAAAAATAACCAAACCGACCTGATAACCTCGAATATAAATTGCCATATATGTTCTCAAATTTATATTTTATGACAAAAATAACCTAAATGTACTACAAACATTATTGCAAGTATATAACATAAGAATGAAGTTGCCATACTAAACTAACTCGAATCGAACGCATCGCATGTGTTTACTTGCCTTCTCTTTTTTTTTTTTCCTGCGAGAGAAAAAAAAAAGAAAAAAATACAGTCTTTCGTGGAACCAACCACACTTAACTAACTTGTTGAAACATTTTGGGAAAAATTGTACAGACCAATCCACAGCAATTGGTTAATTGTCATTTGAGAATGTTAATCTCAGCCCCCACATTGATAAAACATAATGCTACCATGAAAAACCCAATAGATCTATCCAATTTACTCTATGTAACCAACTTACAGTGCAGACAGTATCCTAAATTAGATGAACAAATGCAAATAATTGGTCCAAAGAACATTCAATGGTGAGATCAACATTTTGATGTTGATAGCTTAAAGTTAGTATCATGATAGTCCCCATCAATCAACATCTTGCATTATTGACCCATTGGTTTTGAAACCCCAACCATCAACCTTAATCCAGCTCATGCCTGCAATAATGATGATAATAATAGTTCAAACAACCCTTGAATAAGACACTACGAATAGTGTTTCCCCCCAAGCCGAATACTATGATCTTCTAAGTAATCTCGAAGCCATTGATTTTTAGTCCCTACGAAAAATGATTGTAGGGCTCAAAACAACCAAGTACAAGGATCATACTAATCCAACAAACAATTATTTGCATGCCCAAGTGCTGAGGGAACCTTAAAGCATTCCACTTCAGTTGCATCTAACATTGTAACAGGATATTCGAACGCAATTTATCAATTCTCTACTTAATTTAAAAACGAGAAAGGCATGAACCGGCGGGGCTAGTCGAGTTTCACACCTCTTCGGATCATCAGATGGCCTCATGGAAGGGCTGCCGGACAACTATAAGGCATTGATCATTCTTTTCATCTCAGCAGACCTCCTAGGATCCGGTTCTTCAATAGCTCTCTCAGTCAGCACATGCTTGATTCGGCACATTGACTTGCGTACCTGTTGAATCGTAAAATAACCAGGATTGAGCAAAAGGATTTCATTAGGAGGGTGACAGAGTTGGAACTCGAGAATATATAACCCTTGGTCTGCTCATCGTTTTTCGCTGTAAATTAAGATGGAAGGAATTTGCATAACCAAACGAAGAAGTGAAGTCCACAGCAACTTATGATATTGATAACATGTAAAACTTGTATTTGTCAATCATCACATCATTTGTTTTGTTTTCATGCCTTTTTTTTTTTTGGCGAGCACATGATGAAAACACAATTAAGAAAATCCCGTTATAAAAAAAAAATAAATAAATAAATAAAAGAGATATTTGGGATAGCATACTCAAAACGTTTCATAAGCTACTAGTACAATGTACTGCACGGGTACTTGTTAAAAAATTATATATAAAAATTTTGTTTTAGTTTTTCAATACATTTGAGAAAAAAACTTAATATTATTTATATTTTAAATGATACTGTCACTTACACGATTTATCATCTTATCTTATAATTTATTTTAATTTATATCCGATAACAACTTTGTTGTTAAATTAGTTTAAATAATTTTATATTTTGAATTAATATTAATAGGTAATTTAATTTTAATTATAAAAATAAATAAAATTATTTATTTATTTTGTTTTTATAATATAAATAATAAATCGAAGCTCATACATGATTAATTTGATATATTATATATAAAAATTTGTTAACAAATAAAAACAATATTAACTTTTAAATATATTTATAAGTTTGTAAATTTGTTGTAATTTTAAAAGAAAGATTGAAAAAAAATGATACCATATAAAACGCGTCTACAATAAAAAATAGAACTAAAAAATAATTAATGCTTTTAAAAGGGACCATAAATATCCAGTATATTTATGGATGTTCCAAGCCTAGTTGGATTGGATTGGAAATGAAATTAAGATTCATCCAAGCCAAACACCAAAGCTCGAAAATTTGCCACAGAGAATCCCGAAGCGTGCGAGCTTGCCACTTAGGCTCAAGCACATTCGGGAATTATATATAGCGGGGGATTATCTGCAAGCACCGCGATACAGCCATATCGCTGGACCTTCTCACGATTAGTGTGTTTTTGCGTGCACACGGAGGTCGACTCTAGATTAGACAAGAACATATAACTTGGATAGAATTATCCATAACATATATATATATATATATATTATATATAATAATATTATATATATGTGTGGGTATATATATGCATATAGAGAAATACACCTTCGGGATACGCTCTGGGTTGGGAAACCGTAGATTCTGAGCCTGAAGCATCTGACGCTGAGTCATCAACATGTTCTTTTCCTTCAGGAGAACATACCAAAGCTTCTGAAGGTCATCCCATGACTTCAGACGCAGTTCAGAGGCTTTCCAACTCCGACCTGAGAAAAAAAATTCAAAAGCAACTTATATGTTGACCAGTAAGAATGAGTCTACTTTCACCAAATCATAAATATGGGGTACTTACAAAAGAATATTCGTATGAGAAAAAAAAAATTAAAAATAAAAATAAAAAAAGTGGTCTGATGGTTTAAACCATGGTTCTAAAAACCATTCGAACCGGTCATTCCCGCCACGCACGAGAACCAGTCAGGAACCGTTCAAACTGGTCCAAAACAGGTTGAACCGGTGAAACGGGACCGGTTCGAATGGTTCATCGGTTCAAGCCTATGAATTTGAAATTGGTTAATTGTGAATTGATTTAACTAGCGCACATTTTTACTTGTGTTTCCTATGTGGGATATGTTTACTTGCTGAAATTATTGGGCCAATATTGTGCCTAACAAGCAAAATTGTACTCATTTAAAAAAATGTATTTTTTTTTAAGTAGACTATGTATCGGGATATATCTATCCCAATTTATTTTTTTTAAAAAAAGAAACAATTTATTGTTGTTTGTTATGCACATTATTTTTATTTTTTAATCAATAATAAAAAAAAATTAAATGTGATTGAAAATGAAAATTGGGTTTGTTTCTATTATCTCTATTTTGTAACTTAAATGTAGATCAAAATTTTAAATATAAAATAAAATAAACAAAGTTAACTTTATATCTATTATTGAGCTATTATTTAGAAAAATGTCATACATGATAAAAATATGTATAATTATATATTATACATATAAAATAAATAAAACATTATATATTAATTACACCAGTTCAACCGCTGATCCGACCAGTAAACCATTGAACCAGTAGCTTTACCGGTTCGCTTTTCAGAACCATGGTTTTAACTAATCACACTAATATATAAATATAATCACTTTTTGTTAATTCAATTGCAGGGCAATGAATGATCAACAAAAATGAAGAACGCGAAGACACAACAATAATCTAGTAGAGGTTGAAAAAATAAAGACATTATTTTTACCATAGACGACAGGCTTCTCATCTTCTGGGTTTCTATCAGCCTCAAAAAACTGTTCGAGAGGATTGTGCCGAGCAGTAGAAGTAGAAGTAGCAGCAGCTGCAGCAGCTGAAGCCTCTGACTTGGCGGCCGCAAAGAGAGTCCTCCCAAAAACCCTTGTCAGAAACATCCGTACCTCAGATTAAGACTAGAACTTCTCTGCAAAAATATATAAATAAATATCGCAGAATCACAGTATAAAATACACCAAAATAATATGTACAACCACACTAATTCAACGAACACTAGTACATATCCTGAAGATTAGAAAAATACGTACTATTTTGACTATCTTATATGACAATCAGTGTGTTATCTTATGGCCCATTCTACAAATCTAACAATTAAAAATTCTGCACATTGGAAGCAGCAAAACAATAGTCTACAATGGCCTGAAGATCCAACAACGGTAAATGAAACACAGCTCAGTTGAGAATTATTCCAATTAGGCTATTTCAACTAGGGATGGCAATGGGCTAGGTCGGGTCGGGTACGTGCAGACCCGGACCTGGCCCGCGTTTTCGCCCTGTGGACCCGACCTGGTCCGTGACCCGCGACGGGTCCAACAGGTCGGGCCCGTTTCGGGGCGGGTCGACCCGCCCTGACCTGTGGCCCGTGCCTAACCCAGTGCGACCCGGATTGCTCCATTGCTGCTGGAATTTAGCAACATAGTTGCAGCAACTGATGCTTCGCAACATAAAGAAAAAAGATGAAGAAAAACTGAAAAATTATATATACACATACAAAACAAAAACAGGAAAAAAGAAAGCATAATCTTCAAAACCAAATCCATCTTCCTTTTGAGCCATATCAAATTCATCCTAACTCAAGATAACAACACAACAATTCATCTAATTCCTAAACATAAACCCATCCCAACTACCATGACATACCAAATTAGACAGCAATTCAAATCACAAGACAACATGAACAATTTTCTTTTTTTTTTAAATGTACCAATACTATCCAAATTGGCGTCCAGTAGGAGGCGGGGCGTCGAACCTTTGTGCCGGAGCCTCGGAGGTGAGATGGGCCGTCGAGGCAAGGTGAGGAGCGGCCGGAGCTTTTGTCGGACTTCGGAGGTGCGGAGCGAGGTGCGAAGAAGCGATTGTGTACTACGTCGAGAGGCTAGAGATGCCGGATGGCCGGGACTGTGAGAGAGAGGTGAGAAGTGAGTAGAGATGTCGCGGCAGTGCTTGTGCGAGAAACCCGAAATTTCACAAACCTAAATCCCTAATTTACATTATATATATATACTAGTACAACGATTGTTAATAATTTTTTCCTTTAAATTTAAAATTAATGAGAAAAAGTAGGTGAAAATTAAAATAACTTTATAAAAATATATATATTAGTATATAGTATGACACTTTTTATTTGTGTGACTTACTTGTGTTATATTATAATAATTTATTTATGTTATATATACAATATGGATGTCAAATCGATGATCATGAAAAGATGATTAATTTCATATATTATATATGTAAAACCAATAAGAAATACAAAAGTTATCAACTTTTAAAATACATTTTTAACTCAATAGCTAATTGAAGGAAACAAATCAAAATTCAGGGATATATTAGTCATTTAGTGTAAAATTATAAAGAATTAAAAGGTTATATTAGTACAAGTGATATTAAAATACCTAAGTTAGCTAAATAATATTTATAGAATGTCCGAACCTAAATTATTAATTATTAATATATTAATATTATTTGTCCAAACCTAATTACGAAACATGATTCTTCGCCAAGTAGGATTACGAAGCACCAAAAGCAGCCACGTAGGCTCAGCGCATTCTGAAATTATATATAAGGGGATATAATTTTTATTAAAAAATAATTTAAAAAAAAAGGCGGGGCAGGTCGGGGCAGGCCAGGATACAAGACGCGGACCTGGCCCGTTTAACTTATGGGGCGGGCCTCGCCCGGCCCGCCATTGAAACGGGGCAAATTTTTCCTGCCCCAAATGCTCCGGGTCAAGCCGGGTCGGGCCGGGTCCAAGTCGTTATGCCATCCCTAATTTCAATAGAACTCTGAAGTGATTCAGAAATGATAAAATTAAAGTGTGAAGAATAAAAGGTAGAAATTCCACTAAAACACCCTCTTGTTTTCCACATAGTATTGATTATTTTACTAAGTAGATAACTAATCAGATGAATGAGAGATGGACGATATAAAGTATTGTGGTCGGCAAGAAAAAAGAGACTGTGTATGAACTTAGATGAACGGAGTTTGTTTGGATTGCTAAGAGTGCATGAAACTGCCGTAAACATATAGGGTTATTCGTCTTCACTTAACAAGATATGTCTTTTTGCTAGGGGCTACTTGGTTGAAAAAGATTGGAGCTGGAGCTGCCATTCAAGCATAGCACAGACTGTAATTGAAATTCAAAATGACAAGCATGTTTCAGGCATGACCCAACAAGCTGTATAATATGGACGAGACATAAGCACGAGCTCAAACTCAGCACATTAATATAAAATTAGTGGGCTTCATAAAGCGCAAACTTTAAGCTCAAGCCTTTAAATCTGAAATCTTGAGAGGCTTTTTTAGCATCACGATGTTTTAATAACGATTGATATCACAAATTTACATTAGTGTAAAATAGCTAGAGCTAATGCAAACCGTAAAAGCAGCAATTGAAATCAGAAAACATCACATACTAACAATTAAATTCCCCACAAACACCATCCGCTGCTAAATGAAATTACGAACTATTCAGCAGAGGGGGTGGTGCGCGAGCTAGGGTAAAAAAAGTGATTAGTACCTGGAGCCGGTGGCGAGACGAGGTGCGAAAGGCGGTTGCTAGAGAGATGGGCGTAGGGTGGCGGGGAGCGGCGGAAGGTGACGATTAGTGCCAAGAGCGACGGCCGGCGGGCGGTGGTGAGTGACACGAGCAACGGTCGGTGGTAGAAATGGTAAGATGGAGAGTGGAGTGAGGTTACAAGTCCGTTTAGGGTTTCCAATGTCCAAACATAATTGGGCCTTACCTATTGCTTCTATTTTTTTTCCCGATAACGGGCTTTCGTAATTAGTTTCCAAGCGTAATTGGGCCTTTTTATTTTATGAAATGACAATAACAACCTCGTAAAATAAGTCAAAAGAATTCAACAAAAGGTTTGATAACCACGTGGCCTGTGGGGGCCCTTACATGACTTTCAACAGACACAAACCACTGATTTATGGTGTCTGTCACTCATGCATTTGTCCACATTCATTCAAAGGTAATAAAAGCCCAAAAAAAAAAAAACTACTAAAATTAAGTTGGTTAAAATCTTGTGCAATTTAAATCTCGAGTTCATTTATTAGCTTTTACAAAACATTTTGCCCCAAAACATTGAGCCAATTATATGCATTATCATTTAGGGTGTGTTTGACGCGTATAATAAGCTAGCTTATAGCTTATTTGGTTAGCTTATAAGCTTTCTGTATCAAATAAGCCCCGTTTGGTAGGACGAGCTTATTTAAAAAGCTCGAGCTTATTTGATAAGCTTGTTTAGGTAGCGTTTCAAAATAAGTTAGTTGACTTTTTTATTTCAGCTAGCTTATAAGCTAGTTTTACCAAACATTTTTATCATAAAAGCTAGTTTTTCAACTATAAATCATAAGCTATAAGCTATAAGCTAGCTTATAGCTTATCAGCTACCAGCTAGCTTATAAGCTATCAGCTAGATTATCAGCTAGGTTTACCAAACACACCCTTATTGGACCACTTAACATAACATTATAAGAACAATTGTTCATAAAATTTAATAATTCCCAAAATTTTACTACTTATATTAATATTATTATCTTATATTATCAAAGAATGCATGTCCACATGCTATCGAGTAATAATATAAAGCAAACAAATGATAGAGAGACGAAAAACATTAATATATTTTTGTGAATGAAAGATTATCTTATACGTTATCTCTCCTCAATATATTACAAATTATTGTTTTTCTTTATTTGTTTGTCTTCACGTTTTTTCTGCTTCCCTCGAATCCCTCCTCCTCCTCCATTTTTTTTTTTTTTTATTTCTTGATTACCATCGCCAAAGTTTCCTCCTTTTTCCCTCACACTTTTACCATTTTCTCTTACTGTACTCTCTCTTTTTCACTTTCCTGCACAACCCTCCTTTCCTTTTTGGCTGAAGCTTTTTTGTTGAGGTGGGCTTTTCGTTTTATTGACTAAAGTTCATCACTTTCAGTCTTTCAACATTCTCACTTGCAGTGTAATATTTTGATTTATCTTGCAATAATGGCACTCCATTAACACCCAACACTTTCCTTAACCTTTCTTCGGTTACAGTTCCATTCCAATCTCTCTCTTGTTTTTGTTCTTGTTTTGGTTGGCGGTGGTGAGGTTCTTTTTCTTGTAGCATAAGCTGATAGTAGCTGGATCTCAATTTTTTTTTTTTT